AGGATTCAAAGGGAAATGAACCCTTTACACTGCTGGTGGGAGAATAAACTGATGCAACCGGTATGGAAATCATTATGGAGGTTCCTCAAAAACCTAAAACCAGAAGTATTATACAGTCCGCTAATCTTGGGAATATATGCAAAGGACTCTAGGTCAGCACACTACAGAGATACTTACAGTCCTGTGTTTATGGCAGCACTATCCGCAAGAGACCAGAAGGGAACCAGCCTAGATGTCTGCCAACACATGAATGGATAAAGAAACTGTCAGGACCACCCTCGGGTGAAGGGTTGAGCAATGCACTTGCCTATTGGTATTTTCGAGATTGCAAATAGATACAGTGCTCCAGGCCACTGTGGGCATTACTATCACTGGACTGAGAGTTCTGCACTGTGTAACAGAGCTTGTGGGGTAGAGCCACTATGTAGCCCTGCTTCATGGTGCCTGCCTTTGCTCCTGTTTGTATCCCTGCCCTGACTTCCTTCACTGATGGACTGTTACCTAGAAGTGTAAGATGAAATAAACCCTCTCCTCCCCAAATTGCTCTTTTAGTCATGATATTCACTGCAGAAACTGAAAGGAGACTAGAGCTGCTACCAATAAAGGAGCAAAAATCTGCTTCCTCAAGAACTCAGTGTTATTCCTAAAACTACAGGTACATCAATAATCAAATTCCACAGACATTTCCACAAACAGCTCCAGTATTCCTAACTAGTTTTTGAATTAAAACTCAAACAAGCAAAGGAAAGGTTAAAAACATCAGAGAAACATTTAATTATGTAGAAACAATAAAGGAAAATCAATGAACTCAAAAGTTATGGAAAACATAAGGTTACTAATCCTACAGAGACCTGGTATGCAAATCAGGGGAGAAGTACAAACAATGACCAACTTCAGTTGTATGACAGGGTGTGTCACTACACGCCTTATAAAGATGAAAAGTATCATTAGGAAATATTATTAATAACTTTATGGAAATGATTAAAGCTCATTCAAGAAGAATTAAAACCTGAAGTATTTCCTTATCCAAGATATTGAAAAGCCTTCCTACAAAGAAAACTCCAAGTTTAAAGGACTTTCCTGATGAATTATGTGAGACAATTAAAGAATAATTAATGCATACACTATTAATTAATGCATCAAGAAAAGCAAATAATAAATAATTTCTATATACAATGTCAAATTCAGAGAGAGAGGGACAGAGAGATAGAGAATATATGCCACTCATGATGACAGATTTCTAAACCTATTTTTAGGAAATCAACAATACAAAGGATTATATTTCATAGCTTGTAGAGTCAAGTTGGTCTTATCCCAAGAATGTAAAGTCAATTTAACATTTACAAATCAAGCAATAAATTTACTCTATAGAAAAAAATGAAAATAAACATTTAAATTTGAATTTCTATATTCATTCAATAGACCAGAGAAGCATTTCACAAATCCCAACATCCATTCACACATACAGAGTGTTTCTTAGCACATATGCTGATAGGGCAAATCCTTCTGTGTATGTTTATCTTATTGGTTGTTGAATAAAGTACTGTTGGCCAATGAAGAAGCAAGTTAGGTGGGACTAGGAGTCAAGGGGGATTCTGGGAAATGTAGTAAGGATAAGTTTTGTGATCCAGGCAGGAAGTGACATAGCAGGAAGACTCGGAATATAATCAGGAAATCGTTCTCTTTCTCTTCCTCTTCCTCTTCCTCCTGCTCTCTGCTCTGGAGCAGCCATATGATCCCAGCAAGATGGAATGCATTATGCTGGCATCCTCCATAAGAAAGTCTTATGGTTGATAATTAACACTGAGCTAACAGATAAGAAATCCTAGTCATTGGCCAACAGCATTGTAAATAATATAAGACTCTGTGTGTTATTTTGGGTGACAAGTGGGGCTCAGGCCGCTGGCAGAAAGATTTATCATTGCAATATATACTAAGTTCATGAGATGATCTCCACATAAGAAGGGCACCTCCAAAACCACTCAGGTATATTCAGTAGTAAAAGACTGAATGCTTTGCTCCAAGATTAGGAACAAGACCAGAAATTCAATTCCTTTTTTAAAATATTTTATTTTTAATCATGTGCATGTGTGTCTGTGTACATGAGTGTAAGTCTCCTCGTAGGGCCCAGGTCTATATCCTCTGGTGCTGGAACTACAGATGGCTGTGAGCCACCCAACATGGGTACTGGGGACTGAACACTGATCTTCCTCAAGAGCCATCAGTGCTCTTAACTGCTGAGCCACTTCTCCAGCTGGATTTCAGTTCTTATGACTTCTACTCAACATTAAACCAGAAGTATAGCTATCTGTCATGCAGCCAACACAGTACGACAATATGTAGAATTACATGGGACTAAAAATGTAAGTAAATATCAGAATAAATTTGATCAGTGCAGAGAAACTTGGCAAGAAAAATAACTTGTCCATGGTTTCACTCACATAAAGTCAAGAAAACACAAAATCTGATCAGGGGTTTCCTTGCTTGGGGGTCAAATTCATTAAGAGGGAGCATAGACACTAACAAGAACCAAGTGTGTTGCACACTTGTAACCCCAACTCTTGGGAAGCAGAAGACAGGATAATTGCTGCAAGTAGGAGACCAGGTTGGACTCTGTAGTGAATTCCAGGCTAGGCAAGGCAGGACAAAGGACTG